AGGCCTGTGGTGTTGGTCCTATTTTTTCTTCTATGAACTTTATAGTTTTAGGCTTTATATTCAGGTCTTTGATCCATTTTGAAGTAGTTTTTGTATACAGCGTGAGGTATGGGTCCTGTTTCTTTTTTTTGCAGATGGATATCCAGTTTTGCCAGCACCATTTCCACTAGAGTTTTGATGTATTAATTATAAACAAACAAACTGATTGCTGTCAAGTCGATTCTGATTCATAGCAACCCTATAGGACAGAGTAGAACTGCCCCGCAGGGTTTCCAAGGAGCAGCTGGTGGATTTGAACTGCCATCCTTTTGGTTAGCAGCCTAATGTTTAACCAATGTTTTAGTTACATCATCTGTGTCATATCTGAGTCTACTTCTATTGATTGCCTTGTCTGTTGACAATGTACTGTTTTTTTCTTCCTTGCTTCTTTGTACATCTCATAATTTTTTGTTTAAAGTCAGACATCTTGTATAGGATAAGGCAGAGACTGGTGTAAATAGTTTTATGACTGAAAACAGGCATACTTGTTTTTTGCCTAGGGCACGGGTTGGCAGATGTTTAAAGAATCAGAGAGCAAACATTTTATATTCTGCAGGCCATATGATCTGCCACAACTACTTAACAATGTCATTATATCACAAAAGCAGTCCTAGGCAATACATAAACAATTGGATATGGCTTTGTTATAATAAAACTTTACTTAGAAAAATAGATGGCAAACTAGATTTGGCCCACAGGTCATAGTTTGCCAAACCCTGCCCTAGACGTTTAGTGGGGGCAGGGGGCTTGAGTCAGTCTTTGTGGGAGTTTAGCTGTGTTTAGGTTTGTATTATTGCTCTGGTTTTCCTCAGTTCACCACAAGCTTCAGGATCTTCTAGTGTTAGCTTATGTTTATGGTAGTTTGCCCATTTTTCTCAATGTCTGCTCCATCCTCGGCTTTAGGGCTTCCCTTTGCACCTATGCTTCAGAGAGGGTCTCACTCCACACTCTTGCTCCTCTTCACTACTGTTTCTTGTTACTTGACACTTGTTAGTCTGAGAGTAGGAAGTTGGGAGTACAGGGGAGGCATTCTCTGCTGTTCTGATTAGGCCTCAGTCTTAGACAGGTGTTGTATCCCTGGGTCTCAGTAGTGAGGATTTCTAAATGATTCTTCCTTCCCCACCCCAATGTAGGATGCCTCTAGTGGCCTGTGCCTATTTTGTATTCCTGCCCGTCCTTTTAAGATTAGAGGATATTTTTCTCCTCCCTTCTCCAAACTGCAGTGAGTATTCACCAGTGCCCTAGAGCAACAGGGTTTGCTGCCCTTCCCTCAGCAGCTTAAGACTTTTGTTCCCTGGGGAAGACAGGGGAGAAACATCTGGGCAGGGCCTCATACCTTTTCTTCAGGGGCTTCTCTTCTCCCCCAGTCATGCACCAAGGGGTGGTTTTCTTAGGACTCGCCATTCCTCCAGTCTTTCTTGTGAGCACCTGGTAAGGTTCCCGAAGAAGAGCTCATTAGTTGGTGAGATTTCCCTTGTGTCCCTTGTGTGTGACTCCCAGGGGTTCTATAGTCTCACCTAGCCCAGACTCAGCTTCAGCAATTCATTAAAAATTTTAGCTGAATTCTTCTTACTGGCTTGTATAGTGTTCAGCAGTGTCTGCTACAGGTAAGCAGGTGCTTACGTCCTGTCTGCTCAAAGGCAGTTGTATCCTTAGAGCTTGGGTTAATTGGTTGCCCTATGACCTCAACTCTTAGATATATTCAAGAAAAGTTGGGAATTTTCAGATTGATTACGCTGTATGTTGTTGTTGTCATAAGTATGGGAGCGATGCACTTTTCAGCTTTCCATATCCTAAGAAGGAAGCAGAAGCTGGAAACCACAAGCTGGTTTTTAAATAATTTCATTAGATGATTGATTAAAATGAGTTACAGCAAAATTAAAGGAATTGAATTATTTTGCCTTCTCAATACAAATAGTTGCTGACATTTCTTGAATGTCAAAATTATTGTACCAGGTACTCTGTGAAGAACTTTTAATGATTATCACTATTAATCTTCACAACAATTCTAATTACCAAAGATCACAGAACCAAGATTTGAACTCAGGATGCTTGCCTTCAGAGTCCATTCTCTAAGCCACTGTGCTCTACTGTAGTCTGTATCCAAATCTAGTGATTTTTCTATGTACCACGTGACTATACCAATTTATTGGGGAAAGTGACTTCATTCACTTATTTGTTAAATATTTACTGATGACTACTAGGTTCCATCACTAGGATCCACGTAGGGGCTAAGGATATAGGAACAGACAGGGTACCTGCCCTCATGGAGCTATACAGAAGTGCAAGCAAGAGATGGTGGTGACTTAGAATAGAAAAGCTTACGCCATAGGAAGCGTAACAAGTCTTAATGGACTTACTGCTTTACATTCTGTGTGACTATATCAACTGTTCTTAATTAGGACTTTATAGTGAAATTTGTTTTTTCTGTGGGATTGGTCAAATCTTTGTTTAAAAACACGGTTCCAGGATAAGATGTAAACGTGCTAAGATTTTCTTCATGTACTAATGGAAGACTTGCCAGGGGTGAGTTCCTAAGTCTTTTCTCCTTGACAGCTGGAAGAGAAGACTGAGAAGAACTTGGGGGAACCAGGTCCTTCCACTGACAGCAAAGGGGCGTTTTGGAAGGAGAGGGAAGCACACAAGAAGTTGCTTGCTGACAGTCACGGCCTGGTCATGGACCTGCGCTGGCAGATCCATCACAGCGAGAAGAACTGGAGCCGTGAGAAGGTGGAGCTTCTTGACCGCCTGGACAGAGATCGGCAGGAGTGGGAACGGCAGAAGAAGGAACTTCTGTGGAGAATAGAGCAGGTACGGAGGCACCCCAGGCACCAGAGAACAGGGAAGAGAGTGCAGGTAACTAAACTGACCTGGAAATCAAGAGCATTTATGAAACAGAACATTAGAAATCAGGCTGTGTGAGGTCCTTGTTGCATCGGTGTGTTTCCTGGGCTTCCACAAGAAGAGGAGGAAACACTAGAATTTCTAGCACTGGAGGCCTAGGCTCATGCCCTTCCATTACACAGATCTTCTCATTGCGAAGTTTGTAGGCAACTCTCTTGTTGGGGAGGAATGGAGAGTGGTGGGGGAAGTAACTTTTTTAAAGGAATTTAAAGAATGAACTTGAAAGCTGAGGTTATTTCAGGTCTTATAAAGTGATGCCTGCCAAAAAGCAAACTAACTTTTCAGTGTGCCATGAAGATGTAGTCACAGTGGCTGCTTCAGCTTGAATGGGATTGTTGTCCATTAGTAAAGAAATTGCTGAATTGAGTTGGAAGTCAGGCTGTTTGCTGCTGTTTGCACCTGCTGTGGATATTGCTGAGCTGTGATTAGATAGGACCGCCATAAAGGGAGGTAGCACATCCTCTTTGGCTGAACAGATGATTCTGAAAGCCAGATGAATATAGGGGGAGGGGAGGGGGTGAGTCGCCCAGATCATCATTCTTTGTGTTGTGTCAGACAGTTGGCTTCATTGCAGTAGTTCCTGAGTGTTCACACATTAAATTTTCACATTAAATCGAAGGTTTGGAATTCCTCCCTGGCCAGATCTGTTCATAACATACATACATGTTATTTATTTCAGCCTGTCACACTAAAAAATTCATGAGGCCTCAAAGAAATTCATTAATCAATGAAAAATTGAATGCAGGAAAAAATAACCTGATTATTCTAAATACTCATACTGCATGCATGTACATGGGAGGCTTTTGAAAAATGTGCTCTGTTCTCCACAGATGTTGTAGCTGTTATGCAGGTACAAAGACAACGGTTAGCTTAAATTTAAAGTTGGAGAGTGAGGGAAGAAGGAAAATGGACTAAGTGATAAAACCAAACACAAAAATAAAAACCAGGTGCCTTTGGCTTAGAAACCATTGAGAAGAAGAAAGTACTGAAAGGAGCTGACCCACTTTTGTTCTTCCTGGGTTCAGTTACAATTGTCTCCTTACTGATTTTGATATGGCTCCATTTCAAAATTCCTAAATCCTATCAAGAGGAATGTTGGCCACTTCCTGTTTGGCTTGGAAATGGAGCACTTGGGAAGAGTCTTTTGTACTCAACTCCCTCCTATGTCTGTGCTCCAGTGAACGGGTTGGTGGTTATGTGGAAGTCGTAGTGGTAAAAGGAGCATGTATTCTTATGAACACAGTCACAAGTTTATCATACCCAACTTTAGTTAACCAGTGTCACAAGTAACTTCAGGCAACTTGTCACCAGATAGCTTCCTTCTTGGCCTTCCCTCTAGGATCCTTCACTTTGTATGTCCCTCCTGCACCCCAAGGGGGCCCTCATGGTCCCTGCCATGACCCTTTTAGGGTCCCCTCTGTCCATCTGTTGCAGTGACTTGTTGGTCTTGGCACAGCCTTCATTTTGAAAGCCACACTTTGGTGTAAGTTAGGCAAGTATTTACGTTTTTATTTTACTCTTGGGGATGAGGAATTTCTAATAAAGGAAAGCTGCGTAAGACACATGCAGTGATCCTCAACTTTAAACAGCTCATGCCCTAAGGATGAGCAGTTGTCTCCCCTTAATACCATATTTTGGAAAGATTAGAGTAGTCAGGAGTGGAATCCTATTTCTGAATTGTCAGGATTGCACCATTTCAACCAAAGTGACCACCTCAGGACTTCAGTCCTCTCGATGGCTCTGAGCATAATGTATTCACAAAATGAGTTTCAAGCGTTCATCTGTTGTGGCAAAGCCCAGTCTTTGTGCAGTGATTTCCACTGCTGTTTTTAGAAGAGGATTTGTTACCAATGAACTGATGCTTCAGACATGCAATCGTGGCTTTCAAAAATAAATCTGGCCTTTCTCCCAAAGTAATCAACGTTTTTAAAGACTGTTTTACAAACCTAGGTGCCAAATCCTGAAATTAGGTAAAGCAGTTATAGGCATTCTCTGTAAGACAGGAAATTGGCTGAGGTGTATGTGTGCATATAGATTTTGTCTGTTTTTTTTTTTTTTTAAATCAGCTATAGATTGCTCATTCATTTAACTTTCAGCTACACATTCCATGGATGAACAAGAAATGTAACTGAACATCCTTCAGAAACTATTTGACAATGCATGCTTTCAATGTTTGACTACTTGGTAAGCCTAGAACCTTGACTGTGACAACCTAATGCAGATGGTGAAAGAAGTGACACTAAATCCATTTTCCACTTTCAGAACACATGCTTCATGCTTGTCTGGTGTCATTAAATTCCTACATAATTTGTGTGCCCCAGAAGGCATCTTACATGATGAATGACTGGGAGCGTGGTGACGATCATGTAATGCATACCATCTAGCTTATCAGCATCTCTTGTCTCAATCCATATTCCATTGGGTGGTGGTTAACGTTTATGGGCTCACGCTACATTTCTCCTGGGAACTGTATGTTCGCAGTTGACCTGCAGATAAGACAGGACTGGGCTGTGCTCACTGTTCTTAGGGCATTAAAGGAAAGCTCATAATATGTCAACCTAGGCTCTTTCCAGTAACTTTCTTAAAGCAGCTACCTTTGCAGCCTGAAAGGCACTTCTTTCATAGTCTGTTTACAGAGGGACCTTTTCTCTTTGGACCATGCCAGGTAAGGTGATGCTCTTGAGGGTTTGTTTCCTGTATTATTTGAAATGCAGATCTTTCAGATTTTCTATTTGCCTTAAAAGTTGTTTGACTGCAAGGCTCCAAGTAGAGTGCTGATTCGTGGTTTGAGGTGACTCCCCTAGGAAACCCCATCCTTTAAGGACCCATTCTTCAATGGCAGCTCCCCAGAGGCATCTGCACCACAGAGACCTCCAGCCAAAGCCGTTCCGGTTCGTTCTGAGGAAACCTAACACTCGCCAGCTTTAGTGCAAGCTGCTCCTGGCCCAGGTCTATTTTTGAGCTCCCACCCTCCCGCAGGCCTGTTCCCAGCTCTCCCCTCCAGCTACTCCTGCTCCCTCCTCACTCACGCTCTCAGCACATTGACAGCTTCAGATGTGATTCTTGCATTTTAATTCCTTGCCCAAAATAGCTTGGAGATGATCATGTGTTGAGGCTAAATTGTGCTGACATACATTAGATGAAGATAATAAAAAGCTTTCCTTTTCATTTTTTTAAAGAAAGCATTTAGCATCTTTAAAAGAGAACTGCTAAGAAGTGTGTCATTGGGGAGGGGGTGGAGGGCGGAGAGGGCTGAGCTCAAGCCTAGAGCGATTGTCTGCTCCTCACATTGGCTGTGATTCTGCCTCAGATGCTAACATTTAAACTCCAGCTGCTTGGACCTCCATCTCTTCGTAACAGAGCTAATGCTCTGAGACTTGAGTCACCACCTTTGAAACTGCTAAAGATGAGTAAACGTCCTTGAGTCCCCATTACATCACACGGCTTTGTTCTCGCTGTACATAGGCCACACTTACATCCAACTTATGAGTGAAGGTTTAAGTTAGGACACCAAGGTACTGTTTGTAAAGATGCTCTTTTACAAAATAAATCAATATGCTTCCAAGGGAGTTGTAGAATTTCCTGGCACCGTCTCAACACTTGATGACTGAAGGTTTTTATTCTGCTATTCCTTCAGGTCAAATCCAAAATGTCACTGTACTCATTCAGATAATTCACTCATTAAAAAGAGCAGTCGACCCAGGAAAATGTATGAGCATGTTGTCCTGTAATAAAGCCCTCACTCATGGAGCTCAGGAGAAATGACCTCAGGTCTTGACCATGCTTCCTCTGCATGTTTGGAAAGATCCGGAGTGAAGCTCAGTGGAGCCAGGGCAGCCTTCCCCATCTGTCTCAGCAGTTCCCTGTGACTATACTGCCTCCTCTCCTGAAATGCCCCGTGGGATCTAGTCCCAGGCTGTAAAATAGGCCAGAAAGCCATGATCTGTGGGCCAAGGCCTGAGGGAACAGGGTGGATGAAAGGGAAGTGGGTGGTGGTCTCACCAACACGCTGATGGCTATGCCAGTGCTAGGGGCATGGTTGTCCCCATTCTACAGATGAGGAGCTGAGAGACCTCAGGTTGTTCTCCCAGCCAGCCAGCCAGCGAGTCACATAAGCGTAATGCCAGCTCAGGTCCTGCTGATTCCATGGGCCTGGTGTTTCCCCACAACTGCTTCTGGAACATGTTTAGTCAGGCAAAAAAATTGTGACTATAACCTATGTGGTTTATTTATTTTTTCAGTCCTGTTGGGTCTTTAACTGCCTTTTCAGCTGAGTTTTAAGCTTCTCAAGCAAAGCATAAGTTGTTTTTGACACCAAACAGTCACAGCCCAGTTTGGTGACTCGGTTTGATGACCTGGGTTATGTATAGGACCTGTTCCACATGATTTGGGGGTAGCTGGGAAAGTCAGATCCACCCTCAGACGTTTTCTATCACAGGGGACATTCCACTGAGTGTGCCTTAAGTTTGGAAGGTGATTCCAAATGAGAGTTCTAATCGTGTTGTTTAACAATATCAGGTTTAAAAAATAAATGCACAGTTCTTTATGAGCATAGCACGCAAATCTGTGTATGATAACATGTATTCTAGCTGAAACGAGCTGACTACACTTGTGTGATTTAATGAAGAGTTTCTATTTCCAGATAAATTTTCTAACCAGATAAGACTGTAGGTTTTTTTAAGCATTTGTAACAGCTGCCAACCTAAAGGTTGGCGGTTGAAACTCACCCAGCAGCACTGCAGAAGAAAGTTCTGGCAATCTGCTACTGTAAAGAGTATAGCCAAGAAAACCCTGTGGAGCAGTTCTACCCTGTAATGCGTGAGGTCACCATTAGTCAGAATCAACTCGATAGCAACAGGTATAGCGATCTTGTATTGTATTTTGAAATTAAGGTCAGTACTTTAAGAACATTTGCTTCTCTCAAAGTCTTTCAAGTTGACCCATGTTTAATTCCAAATTGTGGAGAAAATACGGCCTTAGGGAGAGCAACGAAGAAAAATGTGAGGCTAATTATTTTCACTTTTACCACTTTCCAGTTGCAGAAGGAAAACAGTCCCCGGAGAGGCAGCAGTTTCTTCTGTGACCAAAAAGAAGGCAGCGCTCGCCCCTTCCCCCACCAGGGAGGTCTTCGTGTGCCTTGCGCCATGGGAACGTGGTCCTGCTCTGACGCGGAATCCGTGCCTTTTGAAGACCGGCCACTCTCCAAGCTGAAGGAGTCGGACAGGTGCACGGCCAGCGAGAACCTCTACCTGGATGCTCTATCGCTGGATGAGGAGCCTGAGGAGCCTCCGCGCCGAAGGCTGGAGCGGAAGTTCAGGCACTGCCTTCCAGAGGTCAGCGCGTCTTCCTCCATTCTAGCTCCTTACGGCAGCGTGAAGGCGCTGTACTTCACCCGTGCCGCTGGTCAGGTCCCCTCCTGGATTTCACGTGTCCTAACCTCTCAATTTAGGAAAAGTGAAATCCTCACACTGGTAGGATTTTGTGTGTGGTCCTCACCCTAAGTCACTTGGTGCTCCATGATAAGCTTGATTTTGCCAGCTTGTCCCCAGTCTGGTTTAGAAATCCTGGGGTAGTGTCCTGGAGAGAAAGAGAGGTCTCACAAATGATTATGCCCAGCAAAACATACAACGGGAATAATTCTGCAAAGTGTGCCTTTTCAGTTTTTCTTTAAATCATAATACAGCCTTCTGATTATAGAAAGCTAATAACCAAAATAAATTCTGTTTTAAGGAAGTAGCCCAACATCTGGAAGCAGCAAATATCACTCACCAGTGACACATTATAAATATTCTGTGCAGAGGGAAATGAACTCAACACTTAGAAACCTTTGTAAGTCAGATTATCAAATGTGAGCTAAGCTTTATGCTAACATTTCCTCAGCTCAGTGTTCATTAGGTTTTTCTGGTTATGCCCTTTTAAAACCGGGTTTCAAAAATTTCCTGTAGGAATCCTTACTTGAGAATACATTTAACAGTTGCTGTACCTGTAATTTGGACTCCCAAACACTGAACAGAATTAGAAGAGTTCACACCAAATAGTTTGTTGTTGAAATACGTGGAAATGACATGACCGTCATGTGTCATGAAGTAAAGTGCCTTATCCTCAGAGGTAGGTATTAGGTTGAACCATATGCAGTCACCAATATTCCACCATTTTTCATCTACTGACAGTTTCATATGGTTCAGTTTAATAGTCGGGGGAAAGTGGGATCGGGTCAGGAGACGGGTAGGGGCCTGGACGTCATACTGATCTGCATGCCAGAGATAATTGGTGTGCTCACTAAAGGGAAGTGTGCCCCTTGCTACTTACTGTGCCCAGGAATCAATTTCAGTTACTATCAAAGGCTCTCTCAGGTCCTTGTTGCTTCTTCCAGAACATGTCAGCACAAGAGTGTTTTCCCAATAGACAACCTTGTGTTGATATTGTTCTCTGCCAGCCCAGCTGGCACTCTTTTTTGTCTTGTTTACTCCTTTAATTCTGTCTGTATTTTCTTCTTGTAACGTTCTTTTTTTTTTCTTGTGCCTTTTGTGAAAGTTTACAGCTCAAGTTAGTTTCTCATACAAAAATTTATACACATATTGTTATGTAACCATAGTGGTTATCCCTGTAATGTGACAGCACACTCCTCCTTTCAACCCCGGATTCCCGGAGTCCATTCAACCAGATCCAGTCCCTTTCTACCTTCTCGTCTCGCCTCCAGACAGGAGCTACCTATTTAGTCTCGTGTATCGACTTGAACTAAACACACTCTTCATGAGTATCATTTTATGTCTTATAGTCCATTCTAATCTTTGTCTGAATAGTTGGCTTCAGGAATGGTTTTAGTTCTGGTTTAACAGAGAGTCCAGGGGTCATGGCTTCCGGGATTCCTCCAGTCTCAGTCAGACGTTTAAGTCTGGTGTTTCTACTAGAATTTGAGTTCTGCACTCCACTTTTTTCCTGCTACGTCAGGAACTCTGTGTTGTGTTCCCTGTCAGGGCGGTCATTGGTGGTAGCCGGGCACCATCTAGTTCTTCTGGTCTCAGGCTGATGCAGTCTCTGGTTTACGTGGCCCTTTCTGCTCTTGGGCTAATATTTTCCTTGCGTCCTTTGTGTTCTTCATTCTCCTTTACTCTAGGTGGTTGGGACCAATTGATGTATCTTAGATGGCCGCTTGCAAGCTTTTAAGACCCCAGACGCCACTCACCAAAGAGGAATGCAGAGCATTTTCATAATAAACTTTGTTATGCCAATTGACCTAGATGTCCCCTGAAACCATGGTCCCTGGACCCCTACCCCTGCTACTCTGTCCCTCAGCGTGTTTAGTTGTGTTCAGGAAACTTCTTAGCTTTTAGTTTAGGCCAGTTGTGCGGGTTTCCCCTGTATTGTGTATTGTCCTTCACTTCACATAAGATAATTCTTGTCTAGTTAGTGAGTTCTCTCTCCCTTCCTCTCCACCCTTGTAACCATCAAAGAACTTTCTCTTCTATGTTTAAACCTTTTATTGAGTTCCTATAATAGTGGTCTCATACAATATTTGTCCTTTTGCGACTGACTAATTTCACTCAACATAATGCCTTTCAGGTTCATCCATGTTATGTTTCGTGGATTCATCGTTGTTCTTTATTGTTGCATGGTATTCCATTGTGTGAATATACCATAATTTCTTTATCCATTTGTCTGTTGCTGGGCACCCAGGTCGTTTCCATCCTTTTGCTATTGTGAACAGGGCTGCAGTGAACATGGGTGTTCATATATCTATTCATGTGATGGCTCTTATTTCTCTAGGTATATTCCAAAGAGTGGGATTGCTGGATCATATGGTACTTCTAGCTTTTTAAGGAAGCACCAAATTGATTTCCAAAGTGGTTGTACCATTTTACATTCCCACCAGCAGTGTATAAGTGTTCCAGTCTCTAATGTTGAACCATCCCTGCACAGCTGGTATAAATCCCACTTGATCATAGTGAATTATTTTTTTGATACGTTGCTGAATTCTATTGGCTAGAATTTTGTTGAGAATTTTTGCATCTATGTTCATAAGGGATATTGCTTTGTAATTTTCTTTTTTTGTGGTGTCTTTACCTGGTTTTGGCATCAGGGTTATGCTGGCTTCATAGAATGAGTTCAGGAGTATTCCATCCTTTTCTATGCTCTGAAATACCTTTAGTAGTAGTGGTGTTAACTCTTCTCTGAAAGTTTGGTAGAATTCTCCAGTGAAGCTATCAGGGCCAGGGCTTTTTTTGTTGTTGTTGTTGAGAGTCTTTAAATTCCCTTTTCAAGCTCTTATATTATAGGTTTATTCAGTTCTACCTTTGTTTGTGTTAGTTTAGGTAGGTAGTGTGTTTCTAGAAATTTGTCCATTTCCTCTAGGTTTTCAAATTTGTTGGAGTACAATTTTTCATAGTATGATTCTTTTAATTTCAGTTAGGTCTGTTGTGATATCTCCTATCTCATTTCTTGTTGAGGTTATTTGCTTCCTCTACTGTTTTTCTTTTGTCAGTTTGGCCAAAGGTTTATCAATTTTGTTGATCTATTCAAAGAACCAACTTTTGGTCTTGTTAACTCTTTCAATTGTTTTTCTATTCTCTAATTTTTATTATTTGCTTTCTTCTGGTGCCTGAGGGCTTCTTTTGCTGCTCTCTTTCTATTTTTTCAAGTTGTAGGGTTAATGTTTTGATTTTGGCTCTTTCTTCTTTTTGGGTGTGTGCATTTATTGCTATAAACTGACCTGAGCACTGCTTTTGCTGTGTCCCAAAGGTTCTGGTAGGATGTGTTTTCATTCTCATTTGATTCTGTGAATTTCTTTATTTGATCCTTAATTTCCTCTGTAACCCAGTAGTTTTTGAGCAAGGTGTTGTTCAGTTTCCATGAATTTGATTTTTTTTCCTTGCTTTTTCTGTTATTGATTTCTACTTTTATGGCTTTATGGTCAGAAAAGATGCTTTGTAATATTTCAGTGCTTTGGATTTTGTTAAGGCTTGCTTTATGGCCTAAAATGTGGTCTATTCTGGAGAAAGTTCCATGTGCATTGGAAAAGAAAGTATACTTGGCTGCTGTTGGGTGGGGTGTTCTGTGTATGTCTATGAGATCAAGTTGGTTGATTATGGCATTTAGATCTTATGTGTCTTTATTGAGCTTCTTTCTGAAGGTTCTATTCTTCACCAAAAGTGATGTGTTCAAGTCTGCTACTATTATTGTGGAGCTGTCTGTTTCTCTTTCCAATGCTGTTGGAGTTCATTTTATGTATTTTGAAGCCCTGTCATTGGGTACGTAAGTATTTATTACGGTTATGTCCTCCTGCTGTATTGACCCTTTAATCATTATATAGTGTCCTTCCTTATCCTTTGTGGTGGATTTTGCTTTAAAGTCTATTTTTTCAGAGATTAATATTGCCACTCCTGCTCTTTTTTGAGTGTTGTTTGCTTGATATATTTTTTTCCATCCTTTGAGTTTTAGCCTGTTTGTGTCTTTAAGTCTAAAGTGTGTCTCTTGTAGGCAGCATGTAGATGGATCGTGTTTTTCAATCCAATCTGCCACTCTCTGTCTCTTTATTAGTACATTTAGTCCATTTACATTCAGTGTAATTATTGATAGGTATGAGTTTAGTGCTGTCATTTTGATGTCTTTTTTGTGTGTTGTTGACAGTTTCTTTGTTCCACTTAACCTTCTGTGCTGAGTAGTTTTTCTTTATGTATTTTCTTTTCATCGTTGTTGATTTTGTATTTGCTGAGTCTTTATGTTTTTCTTGTTTTTTATTTTGATGTGTAGGATTGGTAGTTTCCTTTGTGATTTCATTAATATTTACCCCTATTTTTCTAAGTTTAAACCAGTCTTTTATTTCTTTATATTGCCTTGACTTCCTCTCCATATGAAAAATCTGTGACTACATTTTTTAGTCCCTCGTGTTTATTTTAATGTTGTCATCTTGTACATATTGACATCTCTGTTCCCCTATTTTCAGTGTTACAGCTTTGAATTATTTTTGTGACTTCCGTATCTGGTTTGATATCTGGTTGTTCTGCCCTGTGTTCTACTCTTGGGTTGTTATCTGATGTTATTGATTTTCTAACCAGAGGACTCCCTTTAGTATTTTTTGTAATTTTGGTTTGGTTTTTGCAAATTCCCTAAACTTCTGTTTATCTAGAAATACCCTAATTTCACCATCATATTTGAGAGACCATTTTGCTGTATATAGAATTCTTGGCTGGTAATTTTTTTTCCTTCAAGGCTTTATATATTTCATCCTGTTGCCTTCTTGCCTCCATGGTTTCTGCTGCGTAGTTCAAGCTTAGTCTTATTGACTCTCCTTTGTAGATGACTTTTCATTCATACCTAGCCACTTTTAAAATTCTCTCTGTAACTTTGGTTTTGGCAAGTTTGATTATAATATGTCTTGGTGTCTTTCTTTTGGGATCTACCTTCTGTGGGGTTTGATGAGCATCTTGGATAGATATCTTCTCATCTTTCACGATATTAGGGAAGTTTTCTCCAACAAATCTTCAACAATTCTTTCTGTATTTTCTGTTATCCCCCCTGTTCTGGTATGCCAGTCACTCATAGGTTATTCCTCTTGATAGATTCCTACATAATTCTTAGAATTTCTTCACTTTTTAAAATTCTTTTATCTGATTTTTCCTCAAATAAGTTGATGTCAAGTGCTTTATCTTCAGTCTCACTTCCATTGCCTCAATTCTGCTCCTATGACTTTATATTGAGTTGTCTAAGTCTGAAATTTTATTGTTCATCTCTTGGATTTCTGTTTGCTGTCTCTCTATGGATTGTTGCAGCATGTTAAATTTGTCATTTTGCTCTTGTATAACCTTCTTAAGTTCCTATATTGCTTTGTCTGTGTGTTCCTTGGTTTTTTCTGCATTTTGCCTGATCTCCTTTCTGATCTCTTGAGGAGCTCTGTATATTAATCTTTTGAATTCTACTTCCAGTAGTTCCAAGTAGTTCTCTTTCTCTGGAAGGTTTCTTGATTCTTTGTTTTGGTTGCTTGCTGAGGCCATCATGGTCTGCCTCTTTATGTGATTTGATATTGATTGTTGTCTCTGAGCCATTGATAATTTATTATATTCATTGATTTTATGTTTGCTTACTGTGTCCTAGCTTCTTGTTTGTTTTGATATGCCCAAATAGGCTACTTATGTGAGCTAGTTTGATTATTGGCACCTTTGAAGCTCTCACATTCTGTCACCAAGTGGTTAGAGCTGTTACTAGGTATGTGAGCCCAGGAGTCCCTTTACTTTTCTTGTGTGGATTCAGCTTAGGTGTCCAGGTCATTGCTCACCAAGTGTGTGGTGCAGGCTCTCACCTACAGTCCTAGACAGGCTTGGGTAATTGGAGTAGGCACAGGTATCTGGCTGCTGTAGTGGGTCATGCGCTGAACAAGGCAGGGGGCTGATGGCTGCCCCTGAGTGTCTGGGTGGAAGGCTTGTCCGTGTTCCCTAGAGCACGTAGGTAGGTGGGTTTTGCAGCTGAACTATGGGCACCCAATGCTGTTGGCTGTAAGGACTGGGAGGCACCACTTATTCTTGGCCCCCTGTAGCAGGTGGCTAGGTGGCGTGGGTGGAGTCACTAGCCCTCAGGCCCCTCATGTGGGTAGGTGACGATCTTGCTTAATGGGCAAGGCAGTGTCAAATGTCACGAATCTGCCACTCCCCCTTATTGCTGATACAGATGAAAATAGGCTTCAGGTATATACCCTGTTGTACTGTGGTAATGAGGACCTACACTGTTGAATTGGGCCCACACAGGCCTACGCAGGGGTGAAGGGCATTCAGAGTCCTTGGACCCCTTATGCCTGTGCCTAGGCAATAGGACTGTGCCTGCCCTGAGTTCCTGGCTTAAGCATGCTGGCAGATTGTTTCCTCCCTTTTTGTTAATTTATTCCCTCTCCAAAGCCAGGAGAATGGCTTAAGGCATGCCATGGGTCCTACTTCTGGTTTTTTGCAAATCACTGAAGCCAGCAGGACCTGGAGCAGAGCGGGGAGGAGGCAGGTAAATGGGAGAGAGGTACTTCCCAAAGGGCAGGGTTTTTTGATCTGCGCGGTAGGTTAGGTGAATATACTTATCTTTTGCCGAGTGAGCGCCACTTCTCGCTGGTTCTGGAGGTTTGAGCGTACTCTCCACCACTTGCTCTCTCCCAATGTGGAAAACCCATCCAAGCGCCACTGCTCATCTCACTGGGTGCCAGCCGATCCAGCCTGCAGGGTGCTGGGCAGGTCAGGTCTGGCACCTCCTCACTGCTTCTGAACCGTCTCTCCCTCCCCCAGCCACTCAGTCCAATCTCTCAACTTTGTCTTTGATGTTCAGAGTTCCTAGATTGTCATATATGATCGAGTCACATGTTTTCTCGGGTCTTTGTTGTAAGAGGGACCACAAGAAGCATCTGACTACTCCACCATCTTGGCCCTGACTTTTTTTTTTTTTTGGTGTGGAAAAAATATATATTAAAACATTTACTAATTCAATAATCTTTACTTGTATAATTCAGTGACATTGATTACATTCATCATGTTGTACAACTGTCACTAACTACTGTCTTTTTCCCAGTTATTCTACCACTGTTAACATGAACTCTGTGCCCCCTAAGAAGTGACTCTCCCTTCCCCCATGCCTCCTGCCCCTGGTAACCACTGATAAGCTTTAGTCTCTGTGCATTTGCCTGTTTCCATAAATGAGATCATACAGTATTTGTCCTTTTTTGACTTATTTCACTCATTATAATGTTTTTAAGGTTCATCCATGTTGTAGCATGTATCAGGACTTCATTTCAATTTATGGCTACATAATAATCCATTGTATGTACATACCACATTTTGTTTATCCATCCGTTGATGGACATTTAGATTGTTTCCACCTTTTGGCTATTGTGAATAGTACTGCAGCGAACATTATTATACAGGTTTCTGCTTGCATTCCTGTTTTCAGTTCTTTTTGAGTAGATACTCAGGATTGGGATTGCTGAGTCATATGGTAATTCTATGTTCAACTTTTTGAGGAGCCACTAAACTGTTTTGCACAGCGGCTAGACCATGTTGCATTCCCACCAGCAATAGATGAGGGTTCCAATTTCACACGCTCACTAACATCTGTTATTTTCTGTTTTTTGTTGTTTTTTAATCATAGCCATTCTAGTGGGGGTAAGAGGATATTTCGTTGTGGTTTTGAGTTGCCTCTCCCTAGTGGATAATAACATGGAGCATCTTTTCATGTGCATGTTGGCCATTCATAGATTCTGTTTGGTGAAATATCTATTCAAGTCTTTTGCCAATTTCTCTGTTGGATTTTTTGTCTTTTTGTTGTTAAGTTGTAGGAGTTCTTCATATATTCTGGATATTAAACCCTTATCAGATAGATGGTTCCCAAAATTTTTCCCCCAGTCTGTAATATGTCTCTTCACTTTGTTGATAAAGCCCTTTGATGAACAAGAGTTTTTAATTTTGATGCGATCTCATTTATTTATTTTGTCTTCTGCTGCTTGCTCGTGCTTTTGGTGTCATATCTGATTGTTAAAAACTAAGCCCTGTAGCAATGCCCTTATGTTTGCTTTTAAGAGTTTTATGGTTTTAGTTCTTACATATGGCTCCTTGATCCATTTGGAATTGGTTTTTATATATGATGTGAGGTATTGATCCTTCTTCATTCTTTTGCACGTGGTCCAGCTGTCACTCCTCTTCTTCAGGGGAAGTCATTGAAACTTCACCTCTGCATATATGTGGAAATGTTTGCTCAAGTCTAAGGGTATCACACCAACTTCTATAGCAAGGTTTGAGCCAAGGAACACCCACCTTCCATCTTCCCTCCTCCCACCCTTTCCTGACAAACACTCTCATGCATACTTGTACTTACATTCATACAAGTAGTTATAAAAGCTGGCTTTGGACTTCATATAGTAGCTAGGTCCTTGGAAGAAGCACAAAAGAGCCACCTTCCTCCAAGACAAAGTTTATAGCCAGTTTTTCTCAGTCATTTGGGCCCCTCCCTTGACTACTGAAGCTACAACCCCCTCATCAGGATGTGGATTCTTGGTTTTATTATTGTACTTCAAAGGACTTAGGGCAGTAGCACCCCTGACCAAAACTTTGCCTCAGTGTATGATTTAGATGGTATTTCTGTAGGAGAGCAGAGCAAAACAAATCATTTTAACACATTCAGGGCTCCAGGGTAACCAAAATCAACTGATTCAGATGAACTTATTTCTTCTTTATAGGAAGAAGAAAATCACAAGGGAAATCTTCAAAGGTGAGTAAGATTGATGAAAATAATAGTAGACTACTGAAGTGTAAATCTCTTGGTTTTAAAATTCCATCTTCTTGATGCAGCCTATTGTAACACTGTCTTCAAAATGACTTAAAATCAGAGTTGTGAATAAATAGTTGCTTTATTATTAGTAATTGCACAAATATGGTATTGATTATTAACAACAAAAGGCCATTTGTGCCATGTTTGTGAGATGACTTAGTTGTATGATGAGGACCTTACAGGTTTAGTTGTGTGGATATACAAAGGAATAATTTATCTTATATGTTTTTTAATAGTCCACAGAAACCTCTCTCTTCTAATTAAAATTTGGAAAAACTTCCTCCTAATATGCTATGAGACACTTTATATATATACTGTGTATTTAAAAGCTCTACTAGGAGAGGATTTATTAAAATATTTCCTGGCAGTAATCTTTGAAGAAAATATAAAGTAGTTGATATCATCGATGTTAGTTATCTGCCCATTTTTCCCCTCCCAGTCTAACTTTCTCTAGTTTGGCTTTTTCTTTACAGATATGTATGTGCCATGTCCACTGCATGAAATTTCCTCTCAGGGCAGTTTGCCATTTTTAGGTCTCCTCATCCTTGGTTTTCTCATGAACTGTCTCGTCCCCATTTTGTGCTTTACCAGATTCATCCAACACCTGCATTGCCAGGTCACACTTCCACCCTTCAAGCTTATGTTTTCCCTGGTCATTCCCAGGCAGCCCAGGGCAGTCCTCATGGGCCCAGGCTCTAGAGCCAAACCTCCAGGGTCAAATCCAGTTCTGCCTCGTGCTACTGAACTGCTTTGTGCCTCAGTTTCCACAGCTGTAAACAGGAGGTACTTAGACGTTTTGGTAACTTAAAATATGTTAAGACACATAAAACAAAGTAGTCCCTAACAGAATAAACATTAAATGAAGTTTAGCTATTAGTACCCCCCATCCCAGCCCCGCTTTTCCTTCTTTTCATAGCAGTATCCACATCAATGTCTCAAGTGAGGATATATGTTAAAAAATGTACACACACACGGAAACAGTTGTCGTCAAGTCAGTTCTGGCTCATGGCAACCCTACGTGCGTCAAAGTAGAACTGTGCTCCATGGGGTTTTCAGTGGCTGATTTTTCAGAAGTAGATCACCAAGCCTTTCTTCCAAGGTGTCTTTGGGTGGACTTGAACTTCCAGCCTTCTAGTTAGCAGCTTAGTGCATTAACCATTTGCACCACCCAAAAACTTCAAGGGTTTATAACCACCCCCTTTTACCACCCAAGACATTACCTTTCTGTGTTCCCTCTTCACTGTATCTCCTTTTTAACTTTTTTTTAAACCTTAAGTGCTTCTGTTAATTGCAAAAGTAATCCATTTTTCTAAAATTCAAGCAGGATCAAAATGTCCAAAGTAGAAAAGTGAATGTGTCCTCCTCAATCCCCTTATCTGGCTCGCTCCTGACAGTTTGGTGGGTATCTTCCATACTTCCTTCTCTGCATCTGCAAACGCCCACCCATTTGTCAGATATACCCTGTGTCTCTGTAGTTATCGTGTTGCTTTGCTTTGGACACTGCTAAGGTGGATGCCTCTCCATTCTGTCCACTGTATCCATCTGAGCCCTGATGTCACAGAGGTGCCACTGACGTCCCTCAGAGAGCAGATCCTCTGTGGGCAAAAGTGGAGTTCGATGAGCTAGGTCCAAAGGAATGTGGAAAGAATCAGAGTTTCAGTGTCCGTAGAGCACTTACAGGGAGCTCTGGTGGTGCAGTGGTTAAAGTGCTTAGCTGCAAGCCAAAAGGTCAGCGGTTTGAACCCACCAGCTGCTCCATGGGAGAAAGATGTGGCAGTCTACTTCTGTAAAAATGTACAGCCTTGGAAACCCTAGGGGGCAGTTCTGCTCTGTCCTGTAGGGTCACTATGAGTTGGAATTGACTTGGCGGCTGTGGCTTATTTGGGTAGAGCCTCTCAGTGAACAGTGTTCTGGAAACCCATTATTATTTGAGCAATTCCTTGTCTTGACCAGAGGCAAGAAGAGGAAAAGCATGCTTGCCTGAAAGCTCAAGACCTAGTGACAAATCAATCGCTTCGGTTTCCTTCCATGGCCCCTTTCTGCTATCCAAAGGGTCCTTGTACAGCATGTAGATCATCTCTAACAAAAATACCACGCATTTTCTGTCTAGTGAGAAAAACAGGAATGCCTAAAAATGTCAATTTTAGCCTGCTGTTTTCCCCAAGGTAGTGACCACAGGCGTGTGTCTTACCCCCCGCACCCCACCCAAGGTGAAGGCAGCTGTCAGCAAAGCTGCCCAGAGCTGGCTGGTTCTGTGGGCCAGTCCACAGGGTACTCGAATGTGCTCCCAGCAGGATCTCAGTTCTGTGCTCACGTTGTTCATGGGGCTCATGCACTCAGCTGGCACCTCCTAGCAGGGACCTGGGGTATGTAAACCTCTGTTGGGATCAAGGGAATAGGAATATATCCTGTGAGAAACTGGTCTGGTGACAATGAGTCTATAGAACCCTCACTCCCTCCGGCCCCAGCAGGAGTGATTCAGGCCACAGAGGTTCCGGGGCTCAGGAGCTGCAGGCACAGCCAGCCCCCCACTTCCTTCTGGGCCACCCTCCTTCGCCCTGGGTGGATTGACAAGGGGCCCGAGCACTCTAGCCGCCTCCTCATCTCAGCTTCTTTGAGTGCCCAGCACGTCACAGTGCCTGCTAGGTGCAGAGGAGGCAGGCAGCACTTCCAGGAAATTCATGTCCGATGGAAATCCCTGGAGTTAAAGTGCTAGCATGGTGAGCAGTCTACATCCAAAGACAGCAGCCGGCTTACCGAAGCTGGCTGTCAACTTCAGCTCACCTACCTTCACCCCTCCACGGTGCTCTTGTGTCTGAGGGAGTTTTTCTCTTACCTAGGACTAAAGGAGGAGAAGGAACAAAAAGCTTGGCTATAAAAAAGGAAGCAGAGAAGGATGGAGAGAGCTGAGCCCCTTTGGTGAATTGGGAAAGGGCCAGGTGGAATTTTTTTTCAAATAAGCCTGGAAATTACTTCCCAATCTAAATGCATCCTCCACTTCCCTCCTTTCTTCCACATCTCCTTCCATTTGGTCTTTGGAGACTGTTAGTACTTAAGGCAACAGAGGATGAGGCCAGAGGGTGAAAAGGCTTCAGACTGAAGTGACAGTGTTGGGTGCCCATCAGGTTTGTGAGCGCCTGACTCAGTGCCTGGAACTAGCAGGTTCATGGTCACCGTGACGATGGCCCTCTCCTCAGTTGACAGGTACCCCAGGCCACAGCTGGATCCCAGCGTTTCCCTCTTCTCGGGCTCACCAGTACGCTAAGCATGAAGCTGTTCCTCAGGGTGGGTGTGGGGTTGGTCTGTGACTAGCTCAGCCGTTGAGCCCCACCCCTCCCCTTGCGTCCTCAGTATCTGAGAGTTGATTTTATTAAATTCTGGCCAGTGCAAGGCTCCAGGAACAATTCCAGGCCCACAGAAAGTCCATGCAACATCTGTAGGTCAGCTCACAAGTGGAGAGTATCAGGCAGCTGGAGAGAGTCCTCAGACGCCAGCAAGTAGTGCGGGTAGACCGCCTCTCAGCATGCTGCCTTGCGAGGGTACGCTGCGTGTGTCGGGGACCACAGCTGTGTGGTCTTCCCATGGGGCGGATGGGTGTGGGAGCGGCAGGAACCCTGTGGGCTACTCAGACTGTCTCTCCCTTCCCCACAGGGCCGTGTCCGTGACCTCCATGTCCGAGTTCCAGCGCCTGATGGACCTCTCTCCCTTCCTGCCTGACCAGGGCCTGCCTTCTGCAGGTAGCAAGGAGGACACCACCCCTCCCCTGTCTCCCGATGACCTCAAGTACATCGAGGAGTTCAACAACAAGGCCTGGGACTACAGCCCCCCCAGGGACTGTGGCGGGGTGGGACCAGGGAGGCCCACAGATTCGTGGACAGACAGGACCGAGGTGGGACTGGCCGGGGCGGACGTGGTGGCAGACTCGTTCCCAGACTCCTCCTGGTACCTCACCACGAGCGTCACCATGACCACAGACACGATGACCCACCCCGAGCACTGCCAGAAGCAGCCGCTGCGCAGCCACGTGGTGGCAGAGAGGTCAGGCTTGCGTGTGCTCCACAGCCCGCCCGCCGTGCGCAGGTTCGATGGTGTGGTTGCAGCCATGGGCAGCGAGGAGCAGAGCCCAGGGGAGGCCGAGTTCCTGTTCCCCACAGGCAGAGCCAGAGCGGGCATAGGGGAAGCCAAGGGGGCCCCGGCAGAGCACATGTTTGACAGGTGGCCTTGTGACCTCCCCAGACATCCCCGGGACTATGGGGATGGTGGGCTTCGCTCTCGCGAGGGCCCCCTCTGCACCTCCCTGGGGCTTGCCTCCCCGCTGCACAGCCTGGAAATGTCCAACAACATGAGCGATGACATGAAGGAGGTGGCCTTCTCTGTCAGGAGTGCCATCTGCCCCGCGGAGCCTCAGGTCAAGGACATGGCCTGCCAGACCAACGGGTCCCGGACGACCGGGACACAGACCGTCCAGACCCTCAGCGTCGGCCTGCAGACTGAAGCCCTGCGTGGGGGTGTCACCAGCAGTCCGCACAAGTGTCTCACGCCCAAGGCTGGGGGTGGTACCACACCTGTGTCCTCACCTTCCTGCAGTCTGAGGAGCAGGCAGGTGGCCCCCGCCATTGAGAAGGTGCAGGCCAAGTTTGAACGTACATGCTGCTCCCCCAAGTATGGCTCCCCCAAGCTGCAGAGGAAACCCCTCCCCAAAGCTGACCAGCCAAATAACAGGACCTCGGCAGGGACGCCCCAGAAGGGCTGCAGCGAGTCAGCCTGGGCACGCTCCACCACCACAAGGGAGAGCCCCGTGCACACGACCATCAATGACGGCCTCTCCAGCCTCTTCAACATCATCGACCACAGCCCCCTGGGGCAGGACCCCTTCCAGAAGGGGGTGCGGGCTGGGAACCCGTCCCGCTCGGCAGAACCCCGACCAGAGCTGGGCCTGGGCCAGGAAACAGGCACCAGTTCTCGGGGACGGTCACCCAGCCCCCTGGGGGTTGGAGCTGAGACATTCAGGGAGGAAGGGGGAGAGGGCACGCCAGTGAGGCAGGACCTGTCCGCTCCCCCTGGCCACACACTCACAGAGAACGCCACCCGCATCCTCCACAAGAAGCTGTGGGAGCACGCCTTAAAAGAGGAGAGGAGGCAGGCCGCCCCCAGCCCCCCGAGTCTGAGCGGTGACGGCCACGCGGGGGAGATGGGCAAAGCGGAACCAGGGTCCATCGAGGTAATGAGTGCCGAGGGTTCCCACCCTCACCCTGCTGACTTTTCATTTAACTATGCGCATGTTTGAGTCTGGGGTTGTAGGAGTCCATTGGATTTCAGAAATCACAGTCCATAGCAGGTTGTGAGTGGTGAGTGGCTGGGTTTATGGGAGAATGGAACAAATGGAAAAACCACCCTGAGCTACTTTGCAAAGAAAATGAAATTTTATTGTCCCCAGAAAATCACGGAGCATATGGTTTCCTTCAGGTCTGTCTCTGGTCTAAGGGAGGGGTGCTCTCTGATGGATCTGGATGTTTCTTTCCTTTGTGGCCATAACTTGCCCTCATTCTGTATGCGTTTATGTTCTAGAAATGTGTGTGTGTGTGGTGAAAAGTATGTCAGAATTGTGCCGGGTTTCCCGGATCCTGCAGGCCTTGAGAGATGACAGAATGTGAGCACATACCAGAATCCACAGGAAGGACAGGTGGATTCCAGCGCTGGCTTCAGTACAGAATGGCAGCCTGACATGTCACGGATCACTTTGTGTCCACATATCCCCCTAGCAATAAATGCAGATGAAACAAATGGATGAAATCCAAAATTCCAACTTAATACAATGCGATTATTATTATCCCCCTTAGCATCATTCACAAACCAGTCAGCCTCGATTTCTGTTCTGACGCAGTTCCCTGTGTATATTTATCCCAGACCATTTTAAAAATCCCCGTTCGAATGCTGGTGGTGAAAGTTACAAGGACGCCAGCCTCACATTCATGCACCGCTGGAAGGACACATGTCCCTGTTGGTCCATTTGGTGATTGATCCTGAGTGTGCACTTGACCCTGAGCCCGTAGCCTGGACGAGCAAACTCCCCACCAGGAAGAGTGAGCTCCTAGAAAAGCAAACACCGGAGCCCCTTCCACACCGAACAGCTCCTGCAGATGGCAAGGGCCAGGCAAACACCGGAGCCCTGTCTACGCGGGGCAGCTCCGGCAGATGGCAAGGGCCAGGACAGGAGGAAGACGTGCTCCCTGTGCTGGTCCTGCTCCTTCCTAGCTGTGGCCCGGGCAGCCGTAGACTTCATGGGTGAGGAAAGGAGGAAGGTGTATGTCCTGTGTCTACCTTCTGCCCCACATCACCCTACACGGGGACAAATGATGGTTAGGTTCCCAGTCTAGCCCACCACGGAGTGTTTAACGCAAAGGAAAGTGTTTAAAATAGGTTAAAGCATGCAAAATTACCAGTGATCTACAGAAATGTCAGTTTCATATGATTCAGCCTAATACATAATATTTGTGCGATCGGTTAAAATAACCAAAATATAGGATCTTATTTCTGTGGAAGTGTATATCGGTTCTAAACAGCATGCCTATAAATGAATGCTCGCAAGGAGCTCTGTGTAGGTTGGGTGGTTGCCATATAATCATGTTGGTGGTCCAGCAGAGCAAGTAATGTGGGTGCCTGACCTTGTGTAACGGGCAGCTCAACTTCCTTAGCTCTTCTCCAGTAGAGAATCCTGTTTCTTAGAAATGGTAGAGACGCCCATCTTCCTCTCTGTTAAACAGTCAGACCAGCAATTTCAGATACATGTTCTCCAATATGAGCTGTGGAGGTGAAGGGGTCTACTCCAGTCCATTATGGATTTTACTATTTTAAGCACAACAGCCTAGCTTCAGGCCACACTTTTCATCTCCTTGAGCACTTTTGATCATCTTCCTAGTAGTTAGTCCATGTCTACAGGGCTGACTTGTGTTCAGCAGACAAACCCTCAGGTCTTGATACACATCCTGGAAACCGAAGATGAGATGCAGCTAGGGTGGGGCCAGCTCCTGCTCAGTCCAGCTCCGCGTGCTGTGCATCATTAAGAGCTGCTCCCTTGCCCCTCTCCACACACACCTGTCATTTATCTGGTCTAAATGAGGTCAAAACCAGTGCTTCCACTCTGCATTTTCCTCCTTTCCCATGCTGGCTCTCAGGATGGTCACTCCAGAACACCTTCAGATACCTAATCCTAATGGTCTGGGTAACTTAAACTTAATGTGCATTACCCAGCTCCCGTCTCCCCAGACCCGCTTGCCCAGCTGTCTTCCCAGTCTTCCCAGGCTCCAACCTTCAGAACCTCCCTGGTTATTTGCATTCCCTGCCCCCACGTTCGGCCATAGAGGTACCCCTTGTATCCATTCTTCTTGCCATCTTTGCTGTTGCTCTTCTGATTCCTATCCTCTTTGCCTCTTGCTTGGAGTTTTTTTTTTTCTGTCTCTTTTACTGTTCCAATCCAACACACACAATTGCCCAAATCATCTCATTAAAATCTTGCTCTGATTATTTTTGTTCCATACTCACATGCTTTCAGTGGCTCCCCAGATTTCTTAGCATGTTATTCAAAGTTTCTGTGATGTGACCCCAATCTACCTCACTTGTCTTACTTCCCTCCAACTTTCTGCTTCATGAGTTCAAGGCTATTCTCAAAGAAAATACGTCCTTTCCTATCTCTGCCTCTACCCATGCAGTTCCACCCTTCAAACTACTGCTTTACCTGTTGAAATCTCCATTGGTTCAGGCTCAAATGGTGATTACAGATCAGACCTTCTTCCTCCTCCCCACACCTTAACACTCCCACCTCTGTTCTTCCAACAAACTGTACTTGTATGATTCATGTAGGATTTATCAAATTTCCTTACAAAGTGCATAAAATTCTTATTTCTCCTGCTGGACTGGAAGCGTCTTTTGAGCATGGACTTCATTTTGATTTCCCCAGTGCCTAAATGGGTATATGGACATTCACTGAATTACAGTGAATCTATACAAAACTACTTGGCTGATCTGTAAGCACTTCCTTTTCGGGGTCTTCCCTGGAGAGTGACCCCGTATCTCAGTAGGGTGTACTAAGGCAGTCTTCAAAACGTGCTCTGAGTGAGAGCTGTGTGACACGTCTCTTCTTGTCTGCAGTTTGAAGAAGAATTGGATGAGTTGGCCGTTTCAGGCTTGCCTTGCCCCTGCTTGCCTTTCAGCTTTTTGTATTGTTCCTTATCAGATTCTGTTGGCTCAATTCATGTTTCATATACTGGGTCAGTTCATGTTTCATATACTGGCTCAATTCCTGTTTCTCTATATAATCGGCTTTCTCATTCCCACGTTATTAAAAAGAACCCTGTAGTGCTCAACTGCATTTTTAATGATCCTCAGAATTTTTAATCACACCTGACATACCTGGCTATTTTCAGTGCTTTCTCCAGCACTCTGAGGTCCTGGCAATACCTATTGTCACTGATACCACCTGCAGTGAACATTAGGAGCTGCTTCCTTGCCCTGCTCCAGAAATTTTCGGCATCCATTGAGTCTAAACAAGGTCAAAGTCAAAAGTGACCTTGATGGATCTATTAAATATCTCCTGGCTACTAAACAGCCATTTAAAAACATCACCCTTTGTTTCTAAAGCCCTGATCCATTTTTAAGTCATATCAAGCTTGCAGTTAAATTTGCTGAAGTACCTTACTTACTAAATTTAAAATACATGAGATCTATAGCATACCCTTTTCTTGAGGAGAAATTTTGATTTAAAAAATTTCACAACCTCCACTCAACATAGTCACATCTCTTTGCATATCTCCAAGCCATCGTCCATAAGGCCACCTTGCAGCCCAGCATTTGAATGTCTGTTGTGTGTACGTGGGTGCATACGTGCATGGACGTTCCCAGGGGATTATCTAAAATCCCACCCTGAGCCCCTGTAGGGAACTCAGCATTTCTTAGGGCTTGATCCACACAGTTCATCACCCTTTCGATTGCTGCCTTCTCCACATGGGTACTTGAAGTAAGGCTTGCAACTTTGGAATCTGGCTCCACGCCTCACCAAACCATGCAAACTTTCCCCCTTCAGAGTTTTCCAAGTGTAATATCACCGCAGCTGTCTTTCTAGTCCAGGCCTTAATTCTTCTGGTTCTGGACACCTATAGCAGCCCTGTGAATTCCCTCTAGTTTGTCCAGTCCTCCAGGCAATTCTGCACACAGAAAAAAGCATCATTAGACCAGATCCCTCTCCTGATCAGAGCGATGATTCCCAGTTAACCTTATGTCTACCATAAACTCCTCCTCAAGGATCTTCCCCAATTGGACATATTTCTCCTCTTATCTCTAATCGCACTTATAGTATTTATATTTATATGTACTTATTTATTGCACTTCAAAATGTTTTTAAGGCACTCTCAAAGCCTTTTCAGTAAAATAACATGGTTATGGTACAGATCCAGAGAATGTTCCATAAAAATCAAAATATGATGTGCAGAGTTATTACCTCAGTCACTTTTCATTTCTCAGGTAAATAGAGTATTCAAATAAAGAACAGCAAGGTTATATTACAAAGCACCATACCAGACTTCTAAGTCTGTTTGAACAAATTTAGAATAAAGATAATGTAAGTAATCAAAAAGACAACAAATGAGATTTTCTTATAATTATCTATCATATAAATTCATTAAACATTATTCCAGTAGTTATCCAATTATCTAGAGTGAATAATGATTTATAATTGACAAATAATAAACAATGACTTTAATCTGTAGATTTTCTATTTGTAGAGTGTTCGATGCCTGTTCCTTAATTAAAAACCTGAAGCACATAAATGTTTAAATAGTTTACAGTATATAAACTTACATTCAAGAAATTCAAAGTTTTCTTTTGTAGTTACAACCAACGTTGTTGTTGTTAGGTGCTGTCAAGTCGGTTCCAACTCCTAGCGACCCTGTGCGCAACAGAACGAAACACTGCCTGGTCCTGCACCATCCTCACAATCGTTTTGCTTGAGCCCATTGTTGCAGCCACTGTGTCAGTCCGTCTTGTTGAAAGTGTTTCTCTTTTTAGCTGACCCTCTACTTTACCAAGCATAATGTGCTTCTCTAGGGATTGATCCCTCTTGACAACATGTCCAAAGTATTTGAGATGTAGTCTCGCCATCCTTTCTTCTAAGGAGCATTCTGGTTGTACTTCTTCCGAGACAGACCTGTTCGTTCTTTTGGCAGTCCATGGTATATTCAATATTCTTCGCCAACACCACAACTGAAAGGCGTCAGTTCTTTGGTCTTCCTTATTCATTGTCCAGCTTTCGCATGCGTATGATGAGATTGAAAATACCATGGCTTGGGTCAGGCTCACCTTAGTCTTCAAGGTGACATGTTTGCCTTTCAACACTTTAAAGAGGTCTTTTGCAGCAGATTTGCCCAGTGCAATGCATCTTTAGATTTCTTGACCGCTGCTTCCATGGGTGTTGATTGTGGATCCAAGTAAAATGAAATCCTTGACAAGTTCAATATTGTCTCCGTTTATCATGATGTTGCTTGTTGGTCCAGTTGTGACGAATAACTTCTGATTGTATCATAGTAGTGAATATTTCTTTCCTTTTTATTGGCAAAGATATTTTTACTATAATACCAAACCAAACCCGTTGCTGTCCAGTCGATTCTGACTCTTAGCGACCCTAAAGGACAGAGTAGAACTGCCCCATAGGGTTTCCAAGGAGCACCTGGTGGATTTGAACTGCTGACCTTTTGGTTACCAGCCATAGCTCTTAACCACTATGCCACCAGGGTTTCCATTTTTACTATAATAGGTATATGTTAATTATGATAATTTTTTATGCCATTTAAAAAGTGTGACTGTGAAAATACACCCAAAATGTATGTGAAATGTGGGTTAGCATATCCCATTTTATTGTTGTTACATTTAAGAAGGTACAGCTGTTTCCCTGCCTTTTTTTTAAATTATGCATTTCTCACAGTTCTGTTCATACAAATGTCTATGAAATTCCAGGGGACATATACGTGGCTCCCACAAATAACTCATGCACTTCAATATGGATCTTGTTAATCTTCCTGATTAACAAAAGTCTTCAGAACAATCTAGGATTCTTCTGAGCAGAATTTTTCTTGCAAAACTCCAGGAAACAAAGAGAGTACCCCAGGATTCTGAAATAATCTCCCTGATTTACTTTTGGGGATCTCGAGAAAGCCAAAACCCCTTCTTCCCATCCTTATTCAGCCGCTCCCATACCCCCAAGTTGAAGTGTGGCTCCCAGCTTTCATGGGCACACCTCCACAGTTCCTTCTCTTCACTGTCCACAACTCCTAAAACACTCCCTGCCATCATGCCTGTGGATCCACAGACAGCCAGAAAACTACTGATGGTGTATGCTTGGCCTTCATGTCCCTAAGCTATGGTGCTCTGTCCTAAAGTTGTTTACATGCTCTGAGGAGAACAAATATTGCTGGTTGCATGTTCTCAGGTGACAAATGGTATCCTGTGTGGGCTGTCATCCCATCCCCTGGGCCCACTGGTAGGTGCCTCGCTGCTGTGCAAGGTCCGTGTGTATGGGAATGCCCTGCCCTGCTAGGGCTCTGCGGGAATCTGCTGAGGTTGGGGCTTTGTCCAAAAGCATTAACTTGGTTGTGTCTGTAGAGCCTGTTTATATTAGAAACTAAATAGAAATTAATTTTTAGAGACAAAAATAATTGCTTTGAGCTACTACAGTGCTGCCTACAGTCCATGACAGTATAAAGAAAATGGTGGAATGACTGAATCGCAGCACTAGGGCATGAGATGGTTCTATCACTGCAAAGCTGTGCCCCGCTTTGGTCCTTTGTAAAGTGTGTGTTTAGATTTTCTTCTCACTTGGTGATTGGCAGGAGCACTGGCCCGTCTCAGGGACTCAGACCTGAAGGGAGTACTCACTAGCAGTGCTCAGCTCTCACAGGGCTTTGCCCTGTCTGTTGAGATTTCACTTGTTCCAGATATTCCAATGGAATTGTCCCTGATTTGAATTAACTTCCAGTATTAGACCATTGGAGACTCCTTCCCACTACTTCTTAAATTATGAAATAGTTCTGGGTTTTCATTCCAGAATAACCAGAACTACCACTGAGCTCATTCTAATTCCCCACCCACTCTGAGCATTCTGTTATGATATCCTTCCCTGAAGATTACCTCGGGTTTGTAGACACAGGAGTGACATGGGCCTCCCTACACTAGGAATATGGACAACAGGAAAGAGAAAATCCCCCTTTCTCACCTCACTCTCACCCCTAAATCTACATAATTTCTCCTTTTCTCTTGAAGCTAGAGCATCCATTCTGCAATACAGAGAGAAGCTGCATGAAGGAGTTCTGGGGTAAAGAGAAAGAGTGTAATCTGAAAATGTAATGCTAGTCTTGCCTTCCATGTGGCGGCGGGCGGTGGGGGGAGTTTGTAGTATGAGTAGTGGTGGCTTGATCATTGTGACCAAGCAAACTAAGCCATATCATGGCCTCTGTTTCAAGTACAACAGTCACTTGAGTTCCATCTCTTCATTCGCCAAGCGATGTTTGAAATGTTTGAAGAACAACTGAAGGGCTATTGGGGAAGAATGGAAGGCAGGAAGGGATGTCTGCAGCAGTGATGCATATTGTGTCTTAGATGGTTATTTCCTAGCTCCGAATTAATGGCGGATGAGAAGCCCTTGGCTGCTCCAGGGCCGTGCTAGACTCTCCATACTCCCTTGGAGTGAAGATGCCCAATTCTGTGGGGCCTCAAGTTTCTCCTGAGGGGAATCCTTCTCAGCCACTGGGCTTGCTGACTATAAAACATTTACTCTGTTCTTTTTTGAAAAATGCTTTCCAACCTACTTGCTTTTCTTTTCTCTTTCTGTCTGTTCTGTCTAGAACCAAACTGTCTTACTAACTGCCCCCTGGGGACTCTAGCCTGCCTGCCTCATGCTGTAAGTGCCTTGTTCCTTGTTTCCAAAATGTCTGGAGAGGCCATTTTGTGTCACTGTGATTGGTGTCTGACATTCCCAAATGAGGCAGAGTCATCTGAGGTAGATCTCTGCTCCCACAGAGGCCACCTCCCACACTCACCAAGGGTTCTGCGTGGGTTAGCGCATTGATGGGGACAGATTTAGCAAGCCTGAAAATTCCCATTGGCCCCCCCACTCAAGTGTTGACTGCTCGATGGGAAGAAAAATGTTTAGGTTACTAAAAGTTTTAGCTACTGAGTCTACTGAGACTTTTCCTCCCTCCTGTGCTTTCAGAGGAGTGAGGAGGTATTGGCTCGGCAGGGGTGAGAGGTCTCTCTGACACAAGAGCTCTTGCCTGAGCAGATCTCTGAGCTAGGCCCTGTCAGAAGCTGGTCTCCGGCCAGCCCTCTGGCTCCCAGTCCTTCTGCCACATGTGTGTGCTGCCATATGCTGCAAATGAGGTATGACTGTATGTGAGGAAGCTTTTTTTTTTTCCCCACCAATCATACCAGAAGCAATAAATCCACACGTATCTTGTCCTTCCAAGTGATCACCCCAGGTGAGATAGTCAGTGCTCAATAAATTTTTGTTGAATGAATAAACAACAAAGCCATCCCTGCCCCAAATATTTTGAGAACTTCTCTTAGAATTGCTTTCAGAGCCTGAATTAAGGCACATGAAAAAGTGCATGCTTCATTTTTGATCAAGGATATGGTGACCTACCCACCTTGTTCACTGGTCTCAATGCAGTGTTAAGTACAAAAGTACAGTCCTAGTCTGCTTTCCAAGACAAAAGATGTGCCCCCATGAAAAAATTACATGGAAGGCCATGTGGAAGAGAGGCGCTATGAGGACGCACCCCAGAACTGGAGGCGTGCAGAGCCCACCGCAGTGGCTTCTCGAGAAAGGACAGCACTGCTTGCCTGTGCATGCTGGTGTGTTACCAAAGAAGAATCCATTCCATGGAGTTTACACAACATTGCTTTATCCTGTAGGAATCCACAAGGAGATGCTAGTGAAAAGCGGGGTCAAAATTTCTAGTAAAAAGCCCATTGTTCAACATCGGCAAAGTGGGAGCAGGGGCTGCAGCACTGTCAGAGAATACACAGACAGCAGCAGCATTGGCAAGCACACACACATCTTAAAATAATGGCAGCAGGAACACAAGACACCAAACCACAAGAGCAGAGCTTTCCCTCTTCCTGTCACCTCTTGCAGGTATCACAGCTCCTATCATCTTCTGTCAGAGGGTCTCAAAATGGTAGCAGATTTCCCAAGCCCCGTGTCCCCTTTTGAGATGAGGGAAGGACACAGGCAGCCCCAGAGTTTGTAGCTAAGCATTGACTGTGACGTGGAGAGGTATTTCTTGTCATGGTGTCCATTAGCAAAAGTGCTTTGCTAACTGAGGCTTCTCCCCTTGTAACATAAAATCCCTACCACAAAAGAGGCCGGAAACCTTAACAAGTCGTCTACAGTGCTAATGGGGTAGCTTTTCTGTTGACCACACAAGGAGGCAGGGGAACCAGCTCAGTCCATTGCTCTTCCAGAAGCCTGTGGTCCCACGCTGCCCTCAGGCCCTCCTGTCACCAGCGGTCCCCTGTGTGCCTCCTGCCACGTTGTAACACTGCCATGTGACTCAGCTGTTCTGTCTCTCACCACCCCTCATGTTTCACTGCTGCACTGGCTGATCTTTCCTCATTCTGGTCTTTTCCATCGCATATCACATCTCTGCAAATTCCCCAAGGCAGAATTCACTCACTGTGGGGTTCCTTGTTCTCTCCTCGCTCTTCTTCTACCTTCCATTGCAGGGGGTTTCCATCTTGGCTTCCGGTTGTTTGGGCATCATCTGGGCAGACGGGTCCACCGTGTGGAACTCATTGTTTTCCTCATGCCTCAGCTTTTTGCATTTCTGTGTGCCAGCAAGGTCCACATTTGGGTGTCCTTGTTCCCTAACATGCAGACAAATAGCTGGACATTCTTGAAAAACAAAGTACTGTGAACCCTAGAAAAGAAGCGTCATAGGTGAATTACACCTGGCTGTGTGTGTGTTGCATGGACCGGTACTCGGAACGGGTAACAAACAATCACAGTGCAGTCTGACTCCACTTTAAAAGATGCTGCTCCAAGGAATAGTCATTAAAGAACACTAGCCCCAAATTACAGTTCCTGCTGGTAGCATTTTTCCCATGTTGTGGGAGTTTGTTTAACCTACTGCTAGTCAGTGTGGGGTAAACAGACTCGTTTAGGCTGAGTCTCACTGCTAAGACAGCTGGGTGGACTCACAGGTCCTCGCGGGCCCAGACGGACCCAGGCAGAGGGAGCCCGGCCTTTTGGGACCATGTGGCCGTTGCCTAATAGATAGTTCCATAGAGCCAAGATAATCGGAGCAGCTGGGTTGGAATATGATGAAGTGGTCTGTGGAGATCACAGCCACAGTCGCTTTTCCCCCAGCTTGTCTATGTTGCCACCCCACTCTGAAGGACCTATGCATGGAAACAGACCCGTATCACAGCCTTGCCATATTTTGATGATAATTTGACATCATCCCATCAATGTAATAATCACTGATCATTTGTGTTAACTTGTCATTTCAAGTTATTCTCCATGAGCAGAAAGTAGCTCATCTTCAAAGTTGCATGTAACTTCCGTCTGTTAAGAAGTGTGTTTGGGGGAAGTAAAGCTGAGAAGCTGCTGGTCTGAGTAACACTCTCTCCTTTCCCTGCTCTGAAGGAACTGCCTTGTTGGGCACTCGCCCCTTCCCTAGAGCCCTGCTTCTCCAGGCCCGAGAGACCAGCAAACCGTCGCCCTCCGTCCCGTTGGGCCCCACACTTCCCCACTGCCTCACAGCCTCAGGCGCCTGGAGACCTGCTGCCCGAGGAGGACCAAGGCGACACGGAGCCACCTGTGGAGAAGCTGCACCCGTGATGCCAGCGTGCATGAATTATCACAGAATAATTCACTGTAACTTGCGTAACACCCTATCATCCTGAACCAACCTCTGCCCAAAAGGAGAGAGCTCGTTTTTCCCAAGGTCAAAGAATGTTTTTAAAAAACACACAGCTGCTGAATGTTCAACCTGTGAAACTGAGATTTGTTTCCAGAATGAAACAGTAAATGTGCCTGTAATAACTTAATTTTTTTCATAGCTCAGAAAACTATTTTTGTCTCCATCTTTTTTACACACAGTATATTAAACAAAAAAGGTAAATAAGATATAAATTTAAAAAAATAAAGGTTTTAAAAAAAATGGACATTTTAAGAGATCCTGAATGCCCTCACTCTCAGTAATGACTGCCTTTCTGTTCAGTTTGAACTGATTCTTTTTGGTTTGGTTCATTTCCATGTTGAATCCGAGTATTTTAAGTTAATTTTATTTTGCCAGTGTTATTATTTTTTTAAGAAGTTTTGAAATGCTTCTGACTTTCTGAATCAGTGAACTTTGTAGTGAAAGGCCATGAAGACAATAGACAAGACCAGTGTCTGTAAACTGGAGGGATCCAGGTCATGTGTCGGAAAGGTACAGAGTACTCAGGGGCGCACAGAGCCATGGTGCAGTCCACAAATTCTCCTTGCCTTGCATGTCTTGGGTTCCCAGCACTGGGTGCATGTACATACTGCTGCTGAGTCTCACCTTCACCTCAATGTGAGTCCATGTGTTTCACTGTAATACATTGTGAATTTCCTTGTATTGTACTTTTATTGTCGGTCCTCTTGCATCGATGATAGAACAGCAACATTTATAAATTATTGTTAAAAGATTAACTGGTGATGTACGGTGTTTATTCAGTTTTCTTGTTGAAGGCAAAACCCCACCAAAAGTCGTGAGGATGCCAAATGGAGACAGACGATGGTGCCTCTGAGTCTGTGAGACCGTGAGGAAGGAGAAATAAAGCCTTTACGATGGCAGCGTGCTCTCTGATCTCACGTGTCTCACGCGCCCTCCATTTTTTCCTAAGGACTCAAACTGGAAGTTGTTTGTAGCTAGGGGAACAAAGGAAAGAGGAGATGGTGTAAAAAGGCAATAGCTGCTAAAATGTTTAACTTGGAATATACCCAAAGTACATGATCATGTTGCAGTTCTACCGTATTCTGTAAGAGGGTCCTGGGATTAAAAAAAAAAAAAGACTTCATATGAAAACAGCCAAAACTGGGCTAGGCGTGTGCGAGGAAACTGGATATCTGCAAGTCAAAATGTGCTAAGTCCTCTCCCCTGATGAGGAAAGAGAGAGTGGCTGCTAACTCCAGAGGACGTTTCCATCTGATGTGGAGATGCTAGCACAGCCTATAAGATGGAATAGAGTAGGGCTTGTCAAGGAGTGGGACTACAGAAGAGCAAAGGAACAAGGACCTTTTGCCAAAGCTTCCAGCTTCTATGTTTCAGTAGCCCAACTAATCTAGACGAGCTGATGAGTAAATTCTACTCCCAGCATTACCACAGTTCCATCTCTAAACCTAAATACTTCGCTTAACTAACCACCCTAGACATATCTGCAAGCAAATTGTCAACAAGTCAGTTTATCACCTGGCCTCATTGTAAGTGATAGGTGGTGCATCAACGTGTTTCTGGTTGGAAGAAACCCATCCGGCATCAGGAAGGCAAGTTGTTGGCTCTCATAACTGAAAAGCCAAGGATGGTGCTGGCGACAAGCATGGTGCGTCCAGAGCCCCAAACAAAGCCATCGGGACTCTATCTCCTGGCTCCACTCTCTGTGTGGCTTTCTTTTCAGACAAGCATCCCATGGTCACCAGCAGCTCCTAATAGTATAGCAACTCCTAGAGAAAGAGGGTCTTAACCAGTAGCTCCAGCAAAAATCCCAGGGCCGATGATTCTCATCGTTTTGGATTAAGTCACGTGCCTCACCCCAAACCAGTCACTGTGACAGATTGGTCCACCAAAGGCAAATCAGGGTGCTGTTAGAATAGAGGGAAGAAGAGGTCTAGAAGACAGTTAAAGCAGTATACTAC